CACATGCACACATAAATCAGCCATAAGTCATTAAAGCAATAGCAAACACACGCGCTTATTAATTACATCAGTCATTTTGTTGAAGGCAGATCCCCCTGAAAGCCATTGAGAATGATCAGAGATTAAAAATGTCTCCACAAAAACAGCAGAGAAACTTTTACTTAGCACTCAGAATAGATAAGACAGAGATTAACCACACACACACACACACATAGAAGAGACAGTGCTATGGGAATCCTCTCGTCCAAACTCAAGCCATGTGTTCAATTATCATCAGCCCCAAATGATCCCCATTAATGCTTTAACTCTTTCTCTCACATCTCAGTCTCAGCCATCCATCCATCCTGTTTTTGCCCTCTGCTCTCCGTCCATCCCTATAATTCTCCGTCTGTGCGGTTACTTACTTCCCTCTCTCACTCTCTTCCTCTCCATCCTCCTCTCCCTCCCTCCCTGACTTTTAACCAGCGTGAAGAGGCAGCCATGCATTCAACCATCAGACAGGCTTACATGGTCTACCCTCATACACGCACACATGGAGTCAAAGCATATTGTAAGTGTAACAAGAATGCAATGTTCACTGACACAAATACCCACCATATCAGGGCATCTTTATGTGGTTAAATGTGCATCCTGATACATGCAGTAAAAAGAGCTTACATGACTGATTTGTATACAAGAAAATCACACTGAGAGTCTCCTTATATGTTGTTGTTTGACTCCCATGTGCTACAACATTTAAAAAGCAACATTTTGCTGGCATGACTTGATCTTTCCTCCAATAAAGGTAACCTTTTGGGATGATGGCCTTCATATTTGGTAATTAAAATCCCTTCATATCCACCCAGCCATACATTTGACATTTACAGTGACATTTTACATGGTTTATCAGCTTTTTAAGTGTCTGGCAGATAAATTGCGTCCAAACAGTGCACAGAGCAGTGGTCCAGTGACAGCCGATGATGGCCCTGACCGAGTCCCTGATGGGGGATCCCATTCCTCTCTTCTCATCCAACAATCCCACTGAGCATGTCAATATGAAACACTATCCCCCCTCACTGGGGCCTTGCTAGGCTATCCCTCCCTCCCATTATAGACAAGACAGGCTTATATTGATAGAATGAGGCTGCAAACTGCTGCATCTGTGTGTGAAAAGATGCACGGTGTGGTATGGAGAAAAAGTGTAAATTAGACCAAATCAAGTCTCCCAACAGTAAAACACATTTTCACTATATTGCACTCAATATGAGCGTGATTTACTAGACGACTTTTGTTGTATGTGGGCTGAGGGAAAGCGGGCCGTAAAGCTTTGTTTACCCAACTTTAAAAAATCCACAGCCTTGTAAATGTTGTCAGATGGCCGATGCCAGTGTCTTTCAGCTTAATACTACCTATATTAAATAGTTTAAATATTTCATAAGGGCGGTTTTTAGAGCGAGGGAGGGGAAATCGTTAGCTGCGGTAAAGTTTCATTAACTGGTCCCCATTTCGCTGCGAGGCAAACTCATCTCCTCTTATTGTAATAAAACAATCTCTCTCTCTCTGGGTGCTGCTATCCACTCATCTCCCTCTCTCTACCGCCTCTCTCCTTCTCTTTTACATCATAATAATACACTACATCCCCTTTAAATGCACTATTACTTACCGCTGCCTTTTCATATTGTAACATCACGGGCACTTTAGCGACAATATAAAAGCGTGTCATTCATTATTCAGAAGCAGCCGGCCTCGTCCCCCTTTTAAAAAGTCAGGCGCGCTGCTGAAATTGATAACGGCGAAGAGACGCGCAATAAAAACGCAGCCCCCGGGTACCGAGCTGCAGCCCAGACCCCCGATTATGCAGATCAAGTGGTAATTTCTCAAACAAATCGCACTCTTTCACTCTTTTGTTGTCGTTTCTTTTTGGACTTTTGGAATCAGGGTGTCAGCATTTATATTGCCTGTGGAAAAAAAATGAGGATTGATGTGCATCTTAATTGTTCGTGTGGGCTGGAGGCTTTTCAGACACACTATCTAAATATTTTGGCCTAAACGAGATAACCTCAAGGCTGCTTTTTAAAGGCGTGTGTGTGTGTGTGTTTTATTTTTTTTAAGTGGGCTCTTGGTATCAATTATTTTTTACCTTTTCTGCTGTAATCGGGAAGCAATGAAACGATCCGACGCCGTCTTCAACATTCAGGCCATCAATAAACTCAGAGAGGCTGGTGGGAGGTGGACTGGGGCTTCTCCTGGTGTGTTCTGGATAACCGGTGACATGGTGGTATTCCGGTAGGTCAGAGCTAATGTGTCATAATCACTCATTATCATTGGATTACACCGGATTACTAACACCCAACATCTGCAACCAGTGGGACCCCGTCTGCTCCGTTGGAGGGACTGCCTTCACTCTGTGGAGTCAGGATAAACGCAAAAAAATATATAACTTTTCATGAAGCAGTCATTGTGGGTATGCTTTGTCTCATAAGCGGCCCTGCAATGCCTTATAAATCAATTACATTAATTAAAAAATATATGTTCGATTCACAAACTCCGCCACAATTACTGTTGGGGAATTATTTTTTGCAAATGTCATCAAGAGAAACATGAAAATGTCCACAAAGATGACAGCTATAACAGACCAATTCTCCCCCATCAAAAGCCACCGGTGAGCTCACATATGGCAGGGTGAACCAGCCAACACCCAGAGTCTGTCCATATTGCCAAACAAACACCTCGGGCCTTGTCCAATCTCATATTGCTTCATAAGACTTTATTGTGAAGGGCGAGATGCGGATGCTTTTTAAAATATATATTACACACTACAGTATCTTTGCATTTCCCTTTGATTTTGTAGCGTATATCTTCCCAAATTGAACCAATTACTTTCTATTTTATTAGGATACTTTTTTAATGCAGTTTAACACACCATATAAATCCAGCCCGCATTTTCTTAAATAATGGATCGTGACTGCAAACAGGCTGACAATGATACCTAATAGCCCGCATAAAATTCAGTCAAGAAGACAGCATAACCCAAATACTACAATTGAATTATTTAGTCGAGACATTAAAACACATGCCTTCAAAAACGATGATTAATGAACAGGTTGGCCAGATCCTTTAAAAGCCTACAAATATACACCCCATTGTCACTAAATGAATATGTTGGGCATTAGTTGGTTAAAGTACTGTAATGTGATAGCTTAAAAAGCCACCTGCCGCATCCAAACTCGATGCGCATTTGTCTGTCCCTGAGACAAGTTAGTGAAAATGTGATTATCCGGTCACTTTGGGCGCCTGTTACATTGAATCTGAGCGGTTAGCAGCTTCCAGAGCCCGGACACTTTATCTGAAGTAGCCCATGGCCTTCCCTTGTCAGGTCATTTAATGTGGCACTGGCTACCAGGAACAAATAAGGCCACGTAATGCTTTGCCATGCTCAATAGGTGCTGGTGATTCACTGCCAATGTTCAATTAGGTTGCTGCCTTTTTTATTTTAAAGAGAGGCGTGATGGGTTTCATGTGCGTAATTACGCACTGGTAAAATGATCACCCTGGTTTTACCATTATGACTCTCAATAATGTCACAGTGCCTAGCATATTTAATAAATGCTATTGAAACGCATTATTAAGTAAATGTTTTTCAGTGATTATTTCTTCTATAACTAAACATCAAATCAGCATGAATAAACATGGATATGACTGATCTGCATTTGGTTATAAGGTTTAAATCTGACGCATTGTGAATATTTGGAAAACATTTAATAATTTTAGGTTTCAGCTTAACAATCCAACATAACAATCCAACATATTTAAAAAAGTTGAACATTAAACGCCGCAAGGGAGTGCAATGCCAAAGAAATATAAAAACAACTTCCCACATTAGATTACAAGGCGTGGACGATGTGAAGGGTTTAAAATTAAAAGGAATATAAATACAGACTGACGTTTCTTCCTTTTGTTCTCCCCTTTATAATATATCCATGACAAATAGTCTTCAGTTTATAAAGCACTTCCTAATAGCTTTCAACCAGTTTTTCGTGTGAACGTATTATTCCCGTACATTCCACATGTGTCAAATAATACAGGCTGAAGAGGTGACACAGCAAGAGGACGAATGATGCGCACTTTGTGTCTCGCCTGAAAAGTGGAAATTGGCAGAAGCATCAATTCATCAGACCCTTAGGTGTGTAAAAAGTTTTCTCCATCCGACATCATTTGTCACCAAAACTTATAAACCCGTTTACAGGGAACACATTTATGAGGACGAGCGGAACACTGACAGATGACTGACAAAACACCACTTGGTTGCAACGATAAAATATTAGATGTTCGTCGCTAAAGAAGCTTAAAAGAACATTGATCTTCAACGATCCCTGGTGCGATTTCTTTTTACATACGCCACATAAATTTCCATGAAGTTGTCGCTTGCTCTTTACTCTCTCTCTCCATTATAAAGATAAAAGAACGACAACATCAAATAGTGACTCACTCAGAGGGCGTGAAAATGCCATATATTGCCATATATATATAACAAACTGACGCCCGTGGTTATGGGAAATCTTGGTTATTGTGCCAAATCGTGGGCCTACCCCCATTAACATTCAATCAGTCATTCTGGTGCCAGCCAATGAATGGTGGAGAGGGATGGAGGAGGACGGAGCTGCTAGACGGAGCGTTTTGACGCGCTGAGAGGAGGACAGAGCGTCACATCTCTCCAAACGCCCATCAAACTTTCACCACAGCCTGTAGAGAGGACCCAGTCCTCTCAAAGAGGCCTGTTAGAGACAACAAGGACACGCTGGATTCTGGGCAGACGGCTGGACAGCGATGGAGACACTACTGGCAATGACTTTTGGTACAGTTTGACCCGGCTGTGAATTTCCTTGAAAACATCCTCTTCAGTTTTTCGTCCTTTTTGCGACACAGCGAGTCGGGGATGGAGCAAGCACCCAGCGCACCGAGCCCTCCTCCCAAACCGGCCCACCACGAGCCCATCAGCTTCGGCATCGACCAGATCCTGGGAGCCGGTACTGAGCCGGAAAGCGGGCGCACGGCTGGAAGACAAAGTGGATCCGATTTAAGCAACGGGGACGGTTATTACAGTTTAGGAAGCCCGACCGGGGCCAGCGCGCCCTCATACACCGCGCTGTCTATCTCCCTCTCCGGTATAATGCCTCCGGTGGAGGCTTCAGGTTCATACGGGGAAAGCAGGAGTCTGGGCAGCCGGGGAGTGATTCGAGTCCCGGCTCACAGACCCATGACAGCCCCGGGACCTCCGGCCCCTGTCCAGGGCGCTGTGCCTGGGTTTGGAGGGCTGTGCTTCCCCTGGATAGGAAACCGGTTCGCCAAAGACAGAATATCAGGTAGGCCAGCTGTTAGACCTAATGGGTTCCCTCTATTAATATTTTATTATGTTCAAAACGGCAATAACTGCTGCTCAACACTTAAAATAAACCAAACATCTGTGCCAAATATTTGTAAAGGCTACAATCGACTGAATGTTTTCACTTTAATTGTCTAAATGGCTTAAAACAGAGGAAACACACAACAAACAAATAATGGAGAATACTACATTTACATATTATTATTAAACGCCTTGTGTCTGTGTTGCTAACTTCACTCATGTTTTAAGACTCAAATATTTAATTTCTAAATCCTGTAGACAAGCAAAACTAATGTAGTAACGTACAATAACACAGCTACTTGCGTGGGCTTTGTTTGTAAATAACCAAACAGCAACAGTATGGTCTGTTATTATTATATCTGTTATAATTTATTACTGTGTTGAAAATTAACTAAAATGGTATAACTAGGTCAGATTGAAGATAAAGGAGAATAAGATAACATATTAGGCTGTCTTACATTTTCCTTAAAAAATAGGCTATAGAGAAAGTAAAAAAAAACTTAAATAATACAGAGTGTAATATTTTCTCTGTATTAAACAAAAGGTAAAGAAAGTTAATGTGTAGATGAAACGGATAAATCACACAGCAGCCGTACAGCCCGTTTTAACTGAAGATTAACAGGAGCTTTTATTAGTGAAGGCCAATAATACAGTATGTAAAGAAAGGATAAAGAGGCCAATAGGCCTGCTGTCCTCTCTGCAATTACAGATCTGTTAAAGCCCAAACAACTTTAAGATTAGTATTTATTTATTTATAATTGCACTGTTTCCAATACTTTGGCCAGACTCATCTTTCACAATAAATTCCATCCCACATATTTCACACAGGGCTTACACAGTCTAAATAGGGAATTGTTGTCAAACAGGGCAGATATCTGTGATATATGGCTTTGAATTTCCATACAGAGTGGGGAGTGAATTAGTTTTAGGTTTGGTGCTGTATAAAATCTCATCTTCCACTCACCGCTGTGTCTCTCTCTCTGTCTCCTTTGCAGCGGCTCTGGTGCCGTTTGCCGTTACGCGGCGGATAGGACACCCGTACCAGAACCGGACACCTCCCAAACGGAAAAAGCCCCGCACGTCCTTCTCCAGAGTCCAGATCTGCGAGCTGGAGAAGCGCTTCCACCGGCAGAAGTACCTGGCCAGCGCCGAGCGAGCAGCCCTGGCCAAGAGTCTGAAGATGACAGACGCACAGGTCAAAACCTGGTTCCAGAACCGCAGGACCAAGTGGAGGTTGGTATGACATTTCATATTCATCTCTGAGTTGTCTCCAGTTACAACTGTAACCGCAGTTCATCGAACTTCACCCGCAGAAACACGGACACTAGTCTTCTTCCACGCAGAGGTACATGCGTTTTAGGCATCCCGTTCAAAAAGAAATCAAACTTTCCTCGTTTAGCAGGTGACCCCCCCGCGCAATTTCCTGTCAACTGACCCCGTCGACACGGAAGAAAAAAACTACAGGCCAAACATAAACAGCAACAAATTCAACATTTCAGCTTTAATGCAGTTTTACCGGCAATTTGTATTTCTTGTTCGTGTTCCCCTCTTACAATATATTCAACATAAATTAATGTAAATTCGTTTTCAAAAATCTCCAAAATGTATATTTTACAATTTTTACAGGAAGTCAAACCATCGTTTTTAATTTTTTATTCTTCATGCTTGAAACAATTCTTCATCCTTGCATCGCTGCAGACATTTTAGTTTTATTTTAAGAGCTTACCACTGCTGATTTATGCAGCCTTTGGGAAATTTCACACTTTTTCTTCTTTTTGCTGTCTTTTAATCTTACATAACCCCACATGTTTTTTATATATCTTTTATTTATTTATCAGTGTTTTAATTTTGATGTAATCTCTCAGGAGACAGACAGCCGAGGAGAGGGAGGCGGAGCGTCAGCAGGCCAATCGCCTCATCCTGCAGCTGCAGCAGTCCGCCCTCCAGAAGTCCCTCAGCGAATCAGCGGTGTCGGATCCATTGTGCGCCCATAACTCCTCCCTGTATGCCCTGCAGAACCTCCAACCTTGGGCCGAGGACAGGGAATAGAGACCAGGCTGTAATCAACAAGCATCATCTATTATCCCTGGGAGGATAAATAAATTCAATTAGGCCATGAGGACAGTGGGACTTACTCTGATCCATAAAATGGAGAAAAAAAAATGTTGGACCAGAAAAACTGAAGAATTTGGTTACAGCCGTTTGAGTGGATGGTTGTGAAAAATGGACCTGAAATGATGGTGAGTGATGAAGCATAAACAGACCTTTCTTGGAATAAATCTTGCCACTGTGTACTTGGGAACAGTGAGACTTTTTCAAATCCAAAAATGAAACAGAACTTGTTATAAAATTTTCTTGTCACCCTGTGATTGTCCTTGTTATGCTTGTACTTATTCTTTTTATTAGAATAAGAAGCAGAAAGACATTTACCCTATAGACCTGAAAGAGGAAATTAATTCTCCACAGCGAGACACAACACACACCATCTTCCTATCTAATAACAGACTTTGCTACACTTCGAAAGGGGGCCAGATAAAGAGAAGGCCTACACTCCAACACCTATACAACAGAGTGCTCGCATTAAAAATGTGTTTCTGAGTTTTAAATAAATCTCCTGCTGTTTTATCAAGAAAATGTCTACGCAAAAATGCAGATAAATGCAGGTTCAGAGAATTATTTTGTTCTTAAACTTTCTTCCGATCTCATTTATTAATGTACTCCCTACTACAGTGGACCACCACAATCAGCTGCACATACAAAGGTGTGGTGCACCACCTCAGCCCAAGAAAATAATGCCCAAAATGTTACATTATGGGGGAAATGGTTTTGTGCGCAGTAGGCTAATATAAGGAAAATAGATGTCAGGATTAGAGGGGAGAGAAGTGAAGAAAATATGAAAGAGGCTGTAAGTTGGGTAATAAAGGGAGTGATGCATGTTCAGTGATGGTGGTGACATTTTTTCATATGCACATTATCTTGCTTTATTTGTGGGCCGTGTCCTCTGCGATCGAGGCACAAATGTACAACTCTTTTTGTACTTTCAGTGTATATGTGTAAATAACATTATAAACCATTCTTGTGACCCTTTCTTTTTTTGTGCTCTTTATGGTGCACCATAGAAAATGATTTTAAGGTTTTCACACACAATACTTACAAGCTATGAAAAACGGGGCGACAAGGTAAAGAAAAAGCAGACACACAGAATTAATTTGATTTCTTGAAAAGTTTATTGATAAATATAATGATTTTATACAATATTTCATTACACACATGATTTCAATCTGACAGTTTTAAGCTGTCTATCTGTTTGTCTTCCTGTCTGTCAGTCCATTTGGAAGTATACATGTCTGGGTACATTTGAGATGAGCCACAACACATCTCAGTGAGGATTTTTTATTACACTATTGATAGCACAGTGAGTGGGCATGACAGTAAATCATTTATAAATTTGTTTTTTGTTTTTTGTCCGGCTCAATCTTCAAAACGATGGCTCTTGTTTGAAACATGGCTTCCATTCCTTCAGAGTCAGTGAAAAGGTCTCTGTCATCTTCCATCTTATTCCCTTTCTCTAGCTCCCCTCTTCTGTCTCTCCCTCACAGTGAAAGGTTTGCTCAATCTGAGTCGACATTTTTTAACAGACAGAAATGACGACGAAACCCTCCTCCTTAGCAGAAACGCGGTCAGTTGAGCTGGACTGACGTCCACAACATGAAGTTACATGCCAGAAAAGTGACACCAATTTTTATTCGGGCAAACAGAAATTTTACATCAGGACACCACACACACGCACACACAAACACATGCACATCCCTGTATCACTCTGCATCTGTATGCCAATAAACCTCTAAATGGACTCTTTATTTAAGGTAAAATAATTACAGTTATATCCAATTTGACAGAAAGATAGACAGATAGTCAGGATCAGAAACACACAGACAAGACACGAATGAGTCCGAACTGCGAGAAGAAGCCACAGATACAACAGTTAAATATCTAGTCGAGTCGTTACAACATTGAAACACTGACTGACACCATTGGAACACAATAGGAGTAAAGAGGGCTTTTCAAAAAGCTGTCACAAGACATAAGACTGCTGCAAGCTGGCTGAGGTCAAACTCAGCTCTGCAAACCTTTACAGGCCTGAGTCAGAATTTAGTAGACGTCTGTAAACAGATGAGGTGGCTCTGTGAGATGCTACACCCAGACCTTGGCTTACCCAAACTTATGCACTGATATATCTTTAACATGTACGTTAAACATGGCATAGGCCTCTGTCTCGCATGCTTCACAATATTGCTCACATTTGTTGTATTGACACAGAAATTCATGATGAAAACAGCCATTATTTAAGCCTCTAATGCACAAAGTTTGCATTTGTTTGATCTCACCGCTAATCTGCTTTTAGGAATTCCAGTCCTGCTTGATAGTGTCGTTCAATTTACACGTTTCAGATTTAGCCAAATGTGAGAGAATCAGTATTTACATAATTTCCAAGGTGACAATAACGACAGCAACAAACGAGGAAGACGGAGACGAGGTGAATGGCCAAATAAAGGGTTTAAGTCTTAAGGACATTTTCCAAAACCAGTGATGGTTTTGTTGCCATGAATTTGTTACAGCAAGACGCCTTCCATGATGTTCTGTGGCAACCATCCCACACAGAGTGACAAGATCCTTCTTCTGTTTCAACTGCAAGCCATACTGTTCCTTTTCTCTTGCATGTTTATTACACCCTCTCTTTCTTCTTTGTTTTTTTCTCTTCTCGCTCTGTGCTTTCGACTTTCGCACCATCTCGCTCCTCTTCGTTGTCTAGATGACATTTTCAAAGAGCTGTAAGGACCTCATGATGTTTTCATCCTGTGCAAAGAAGACAGAAAATTAAAAAGCTGACTGTGAGTAGAAAGTCATCAAACAATCAGCATCTAATTCCGATCATTGGCCACTAGGGGGCAGTGAAAGCTTGTAAAATGTTAGTAATCTCTGCAGACAGACACATTGACATAAAAGGTAGCAAATAACATAATTAATGGCTGTTACAGTGAGATTTGCAATAGCAGAAGGATGAGTAAAGAAACCGAAGAAAAATGGCTGCACTTTGGGGCAAAAAGCAAAAATAGCAGCAGATATTTTGGCTTGCCTCAGTAGGGAAGTCAAGCTATTATTATTTTTATTATTTACACCTGTGCTATTCCTAGTGTGACATGTCAAAATGTCCTTGGTAAAAAAAAGAAGCCTATTGTAAAGTTAAAGGGATCCTCAGGATTATGTAAGAGAGAAGAGAACGAGTACCTCTTGACAAGAAAGAATGAATTCATCTAGAGTGACCACGCCATCTCTGTTTTTGTCCATTTTCTGTGGAGACAAAGCACTGTTTGTCAGGGAAGATATACAAATGCAGTTTGTAAATAAACTAAAAACAATCAGTAGAATATAACTAAGTACATTACTGTACTTGTACTTTACTTGAGAATTTTTCAGAATTTTTCATACCATCTCCAAATGTGGTGATTTTGAATGTTTGTGATAAACCGAAGGATTAAGTGTTCCTTTACTGGTTGAGAAAATTCTCCGACTTCTTAAGCTAAATAAACAATTTAAAACCCTCTTGGATTAGCTGGAAAATGCCTTGTCACAAAGCTGAAAACAGGGCTGTTCTGTGCTCATGAAGAGTTGACTTTTTAGAGCTACGTGGTTCTCACAGGACAGCGACACAACACACACATAATGAGATTATAGAATATGATGCATTGTTATAGATTAAACTACCCAACAGTATATAAAGTAGTTAAAGTTAGCT